AGGTGGCTGTGTCCAAATGGGACAAAGAAAAGCGGGAATAAATGGAATTAATTCCCGTTTTTGCTGCCGTGGAGCCTCCCCAGGAGGGTTTTCCCCGAGTTGGAGCCTCGGCCAGGCTGGATTTGGGAAGGGAATGGAGCTGGGGGCGGGAGCTGGGAGCTGAACTCTGGTCTGTGCCTGTTGGGAAAGAGCATTCCCGCTGTTCCAGAGGGCGGGAAGGGCAGTTAGGGATGTGTCAGCCGGGTGGATAAGAGATAACCAGGAACACTTTCCCTTGTCAGCACTGTGGGAACGGGAGCCGGGGGAGGGGGCAAATTCCACCTGGGATTTGCGGCTCCTCCAGCCCAAATCCTGGGCAGGTGAGAGGCAGCAGGGAAAACTTGGAATTGCAGGGACATAAACCCAACCCTGGATAATCCCAGAGCCCCTTAAACCGAGGCTTTCCCCCAAATCCCTGGAAGAGGATTTGCTGGAAGTGCTTAGGGCTGATCCCGAGCTGCTCCTCCAGGGGCTGGAAGTTGATCATTAGGATCAATTAACTCCCAATAAAGCCTCGATGAGATTATGTGTTCCTGGGGGTGAAGGGACCTGAGCTTCCTGGGCTCCCTGCTCCCGGTTTTCCTGCATGGAGCCACCTCCCTCGGGGCTCTCTGCTCTTGGGAGCACCTTGGGAAACGAAATTCCCGTTCCTGGCAACCCTTTGCTCTTCCACTGGGCAATTCCTGATCCCTCCTCCTGCCTTTTGAGGCTGCTGGGGCAGAACAGGAGCTCTAAAACCTCGGGATGATTCCACAGGGGTCATCCCAGCGTTTGTGGGGCCTGTGATCCCGTGGGATTTGGGAATGTGATGGTCCCAGCTGTGCTGCTGGACTGGTTCTGACTGGGAGCCCCGGGAAGTCTCGGAGCTCCCCCCAGAACTGACTCCTGGCACATTTGGCTCCTTCCCTCCTCTTTCCTCTTCCCTAAGGAGGATTTGGAAGCATCCTCGTTGTTCCACGGATCAGGGAGGGCAGCTGAGTGTGGCTGGTGCTGGGGGGATGCAGAAGACCCCAATGTGCTGATCCTCCTAAATCCTTTTTTTTTTTTTCCCCAGATGTTTCCCGCTGGGCTCTGGCTCCTCTAGGATGTTGGAGAACCGAGAGGAAGTAAGACCCTCCCTGATATGATAATTCCTGGCTGGAATTTGGCAGCACAGGGAGGTCTGGGCAAGGCGGAGGGTCCGTGGGGCAGAGCTGAGGGGCAGCTGGGGACAGGGCTGGGAATGTCTGGAGCTGCCTGTGGGAGCTGTCTGTGCTCTCCCTGGGACAGGGAAGCTGGAGGAGGTGGGATGGGGGGATCCCTGTCCCTGGAATGCCGGGGGGCTGAGCAGGGACACCCCTCCTGCCCCCCAGGAACTGACCACGGTGCGAGTGCAGGACCCCCGAGTGCAGAACGAAGGCTCCTGGAATTCCTATGTGGATTACAAGATCTTCCTCCACGTGAGTCGGGGCTGAGGGACAGGGGGTGGAGCTGCAGAGCCCGGGACTCACCAGTGGGATCATCCAGAGTGGGATCATCCAGAGTGGGATCATCCAGCATGACTGGGATCATCCAGCACGTGGGGATGGAAGGAGCCCCCACGGGAGAACCCTCTGCCTTCTGTGGGTCTGAGACCTGGCGTGGAGAGGATGGATCCCTGAGTCCCTCCTCTTCCTCCCTGCCCCTCAATCCCACAGACAATTCCCATGGAACTGTTGGGGTTTTGTTTTCCCAGACCAACAGCAAGGCCTTCACTGCCAAGACCTCATGTGTGCGGCGCCGCTACCGTGAGTTCGTGTGGCTGAGGAGGCAGCTCCAGAAGAATGCTGGCCTGGTGTAAGCATTCCTTGGCCTTCCTTTCCCTCCTCCTGCTGCTCAGGGAGACCTGGGAGAGCCTTTCTCCCTGCCCTGGGTGACCCCTGTGAGCTCAGAGAGAAACCCCGGGCAGGAGCAGGGGATACCCGAGCTCCCAGGATCCAAGGGCCTGGCAGGTGCTGCCACAGTGTCCCCAGGATCCAGGGGCCTGGCAGTGTCCCCTGTGCTGGCACTGAGGTGACCTGAGCCCTGGTTCCCCCCCAGGCCTGTCCCAGAGCTGCCTGGAAAATCCACCTTCTTCGTGGGCAGCACGGACGAGTTCATCGAGAAGCGGAGACAGGGACTGCAGCAGTTCCTGGAGAAGTGAGTGAAGGATTCCTGAGGGCTGGAGGGGGGGTGGCAGGGAGGGGACCATCCTGCTGCAGGGCTGTGAAGGTGCCCTGAAGGGTGACTGCCCCTCCTCTCTCCGTGCCCAGGGTGGTGCAGAACGTGGTGCTGCTCTCGGACAGCCGCCTGCACCTCTTCCTGCAGAGCCAGCTCTCCGTGCCTGCCATCGAGGCCTGCGTGCAGGGCCAGGGCCCCCAGACAGTGACAGAGGCCATCCTGCACTATGCCATGTCCAACTGTGGCTGGGTGCAGGAGGAGGAGGGTCGGCCCTCAGCGCTGCCCGGGCGGGACCCGAGAGCCAGGTAATATGCTGGAATGGCTGGGACATCCCTACCAGCGACAGGGGGTCTAAATTTTGGGACAACAAGCTGACAAGGAGTGCTTTCCTTCCCTGGAAGGGAAAACAACCTGGAAAAAAAAAATCACCCCCAGTGTTTTCCAGGTGGCTGTGTCCAAACGGGACAAGGAAAAGCGGGAATAAATGGGATTCCTTCCCATTTTTCCTGCTGTGATGTTCCTCTGTGAGGCTTTTCCCTGGATTCTGAGATGCTGGAATGGCTGGGGA